AGAATACGTTTTATGACAGATGCTTCACAGTACAGCTAGAAGAAATAATTAAAAGTGTTCAAGTGGAAGAACTGCTGTCAAACAGTGCTAAGACAGAAAACTTATAGGACCTAATTGAATAGGAAACATGAAAAAAGTCTACAAAAGACTTAAGGGTTTTTTGTGCATTTTCAAAAATATAACTGAAAACACAAGAATGACTGACTCCATTCGTGATCTTGGCATACTATGCACAAGAATTTCATGGTAAAGGTTCAACAGTCTAATACCACTCAGAATACAGTATTTCTGGATATTTCCTTGAAAAAAATGATTTTACATTAAAAATATGCATAGCATATCAAATGGCCTCTGTCTGTTAAAATTTGACAAATGCATTAGGATTGACTTCCAAGTAAATTTTGCTCTGTGCACTCAGTAGAATAATAGCTGTAATTCCTGGCATTTTCATGTAATCTTGCAATTTCATATAAATAAAACTTGAAAAATTATTATACATTGATTAACAGCATATAAAAAACCCCACTGCACATGATTTCATTTTTTGCTGGAAATTCCTATCATTCTGTAATTTATGCATTAAAACAACAGAATAAAGGGATTAATAAAACATCACCATTTAGACAGACCACAAACCACTGCCTTCAAATGCACACATTAGTCCAGGAATATGGCCCTTTACCGTAGATTGCAAAGAACTCTGCATGCAGAAAAGGATAGTATTTTAAGACTGTTATCTAGGCCTGTTATTTAAACATGAGCTAGAAGAAAAAAATGACAAGAGGGATGGAAATACCAATTTTGAGGCCAGAAAGCTCATGATAATCATCTGGATTAGTTTCTGAAATGCTGCAGATGAGAAAACTCCAGAATCTAGTGTTATTTCATGATCACGTCTACTTCTCATGCTTCTTGTATTTTTGATGTAGCCCATCGTTCTGAGAAGTATAAAATCCTTAGCTAGAAATTTAAAGTAAGAAACTCCTTACACCTTAACAGCTATTTACCCTCTTTTATCACAAATGCATGTTTTTTTTCCAGGCTGAAATTATGCAGGGAAAATAAATGACAGTGGAGAACAAAATAGATAAAAGAAAGACGAATCCCAGGTAACAATGCTGAGATGCTATCAAGACAATCCTTACACTGGAGAAATCCAAATTGCTCTATTAAGGAAAAAACTGTAAGACATACTGATGTACAATCTAAGAGTCAAGAGAAGCCACCAACTATTCTCTCTTGCAAATACATAGAGAACTTGCTATAAGAGCTCTGACCTTTATATACAAAGCAGTGCATACATTCAGATCTGCAGCAACACCTTACTCCTGATATAACAGTACATCACCACTCTGTGTGACCATCTCAGTATTGGAAACAAAAGAAAGCACTGTTTTTTTCCCCGTCCTTAACTATCAGAATAAAATTCAAGTCTTATTCATTGGAAAGCTATTTTCTGCATCCTTCACTACAAGATCCAAATCTGATTTGAAAGTATGTGTTTTGTGTTAAGTTACAATGCATTAACAGTTACTCTTAAGCTTATGCATACATATCTTTTCCTCTTACCCAGGAAAAGGCCTGTCTGTCATTAGCAATAAAAATATCAGCATAGAAGAGGCATCAGAACCCCTACTGATGATTCATCCATGGGTTATAGGTGAAATATTGAAGATTTATCTTGATCATCACTACATACAACATTAACACAGTTACGTATGACCTTCAGTAATAGCAGGTGAATGAAAATTTACTTCTTCCAATGTAACCCTGCTCCCTAAATCCAATATGTAGCCAAAAAATTATTTACACTGACTGCATTTTGAGGTCTTCATTACTCCAAAACTTCTACCGGTATCATACTACACTCTGAATTAAATTCAAATCATAAATGCTTGTCATCTCCTTAACACTCCACTCACCACTTCTCACACTACTGTTTCTCAAGTTTCCTATACCAATGAATTCTTATATGAAAGCCGCAGTCTCTCTTCATACCTCCTTTTACACTACCCAGGTACTCAAAATTTTTTCCCTACCGTGCATGTTATTAAGAAAGTGAGGGACACTTTCCAATTGCTTTAGATAACAAATCTGTTACTCCAAGTTTACTGGAAAAAGTCTTTGAAAAGGGCCAAAGATACAAATTACAATTTCACAAAGCTGAAAAGGATACGAGAATATTAAATGTACATCAAAACCTACACCTCCATTACACATAACAATTGAAGAATAGTGAACTGGTCTAGCCACTAGTTAACTAATTTACCTTTTTTTAATTAACAGTTTAATTTAACAGCTGTTCACAACACCAATTATAAACACCACCTCACAGTCATTTCCCAAAAGAGTGAATGAGGACTTCAATGGTATAACAGCCACACAGAGCAGGGAATCTACTCAGAACATCATGGTTTCCTAGAACTCCAAAACATAAAATATTGTATATCACTGGACTACAAACTTCAGGATGAAGATGACTTCTTTTAGTTTCAGAGGAGGTGATTCTGCAGCACTCTTCCTGATATCTTCTCTGCCCCCATCCCCTCCCCCCCATAGTTCTATCATCCTCCTCCCAACTGTTTTTGTCTTCCATAACTCTTCCCTTTTATTCTCTATATTGACAGTAAGTGTACCAAACCCAATACTTTCCTTATAGTATTTCTAAAAATCTACCTGCTTCCTGTTACTTCTCGGAAATACACTTATGGTTCATGGCTGTTAGCCTCCTTAACAGGCATTACTCTATAACCTAAATAATCTCATTGTCATCTTTCACTTCTGTAGTTCTTCTAAAACATAGCCAAACAACTTTCCCTCCCTCCCCAATTCACTTTTATCCTCTTTCTACATCAAATAGAAACTTTTCATCCTCACCTTCCAGGCTGCACAAGTTCTAGCCCTGCCTCGCATAGTTTATATCTTTATCATTTGCCTGTATTTCACTAAATCCTCCTTCCTTAAAGGTGACCTGAAAAGGAGAAAAACACCAAGTGGTTTCTCTTTTTGCTTCCTTATGATGAAAGCTTCACAGATTTATCAATAGAAGCCTGATTCCTTTTGGGTCCCCACCTTCTGAGAAACCAGGCTACCAGTGTGTTTTTGCTGTTTAGAGGGGAAGGTCTTAAGGGCTTCCTGGGTGACTCAAATTTATACATAAGGAATCTTAAGCCCTCAGTGGAACAGGGTGAAAGTGCTACATATTCAAATTAAAGAATAAAGAGAAGACAAGTGTAATAGAAATAATTTAAGTTGGTAAATATCTCTCCTCCCCTACATTTAAGTCAAAGTACTTTATAGGTTGTATTTTTTAACAGCACTCCAAAAAGCAACTCTAGACTTTCTTCAAAGAGCATGAAACCACCACCAAGACACACAAAGCCAGTTAAGTTCTGGTGCCACATTTTACGTGCATGTTAATGATTTCCATACCTACAGGTTCTCCTAGGCCCACAGAAATCAGTCAGCCTTCTGCAGACCCCCACCCCTCTCCCCTGAGCCCCTTTCAGCCCATACACACCTCCTGCCCAAACGCTGCCAGAGCAATCCTTCCACACCCCACACACCGCCGCAAACACCGCGCTGGTGCCCGCGGGACCTCGCGTTGATTTACGACCCAGCTTGCACGACTTCGCCTGAACCACCAAAGTTTCCAGAAGCCAAAAAGTGAAACCGGCTGCGGCCTTGCTCTGCCGCCACAGCACCTTGGCCCCCCACCAGCAACGGCTGCGGGGACCCCGCGCCGGAGCAACTCACCCCAACTCCACCCGCGGCCCGAAACACGCCACAGGCAGCACGAACCCTCCGCGCGCAACCCCGGGAACACGGGGGAGTCACAGGCCCGTCCCGAGGGCTCTCCTCCCGCCGTGCCCCAGCACCAGGCCCTCCCCGTACCTATCCATGGTCTGCGGCAAGGCCAAGCCCGTCTGCTCGGACATGGCTCCCAGGAGAAGGAGGGAGGGGGGGCTAGCTGAGGGCCCACAGCCTGACAAAGGCGGCCCCAGCACCGACGAAGCCGCGCGTCACGCGTATGGCGGCGAAGGGAAGCAAGAGGAAAAGCGGCGAAACCACCCTCCCGCGAGGCAGCCGGGAGAGTCCCTCCTCCAGCAGGCGGGGACGGAGCGGTGGGACGGAGCGGAACGCAGGAACGGCACGGCACGGCACGGCGCGGCGCGGCGCGGCCCGGGGCCCCGCGCTGGCGCGGCGAGAGGCGGCCGACGACGCCTTTGTGAGGTCAGGACGGAGCGCAGCTACGACAGCCACTCGGCCGCTATAGCGCGCCTGCGCCAGCGAGCGAGCGGCCGCCCTGCAGCGCGCTGGGAAGTGTAGTCCTGCCGCCGCCGGAGCTTAAAGGTCCGGCGGGGCGCTCCTCCGCCCTCTCCCCTCCCTATGCTTCTTATCACTGTTGTTGCGTAGCCGCTGCCCGGCACTGCGCTCGGGGCAGGTAGGGGAACTCGGTGACGCGGGGGCTGTCGCGCTGGGCGGGGGGAAGGTCAGCGCCCGGCCCGGCCCCGCGCCCTCTGTAGCGGCTGCCCTCCGCCGCCACTGCCCTGGTTCCCCTGAGGGCGCGAAGGGGTGGGGGAATGGGAAGGGCCCTCCCGCCACCGCCCGCCTCCTCGCGCAGCGACCGTTGCCCTGAGGGAATTGGCGCAGCACCGCTCCCGTCGCCGGTCGCCCCCCTCTCGCCGGCGGAGAGAGGGAAGGAGGGAGAGGCTGGGCCGCCTCCTGTGCCTCTTCCCCACTCACGCAGGACGTGGGGACCCTCTCGGGGAAGGGACAACCCTCCTGCGCACCCTCGCCATTCCCTCGCCTGACGAACAGGTGCAGGCGGCTCCCGCCTGCTGCTCGGCCAGCCGGCCTCCCTGGGACCTGCTCTCGGAGCAGAGAGGCCCGAGGGAAGAGGGCAGCTTGCCAGGTGCCTTCTCCGGTTTAGGCTGCCGAGAAGGGCGGTGGTTGGCACGGCCGAAAAGAAGTTAATCTGTTTCTGTGGGTTTGTTTGCAATGACAAGGACGAGCACTCGGCGCCCTTGTAAGTGGCCCTTCATGCTTGATGGAGGCCTGTGGCGGACTGGCTTCTATGTGCGAGTAGGCTGAGGCGTGGGACGGCTGGCGGCAATGACAGTGCTCTTATTTCAGCTTGTAAGCATGCTTCCTAAGGGGAACAAATCCTTCTAAAGTGATTTTAAACTTTGTTACACGTTCTAAAGTCAATACAGAACATCGCAGTCTGTGAGAATGGAAATTTAGAAGCTGAAAAGCCTTTATAAAACAAAGAAGTGGATAACGCCCTGGAGAGCAGTTGCCTTCCCATTGTGTGTCTGTCTCCCACTCTTACTTCTCAGTCCAAGTGGATGTGTATTTCCATGCATGTAAAGGTTCTATGTAATGTCATATTCCCCAAGGGCAAGATCCTGCTTTTCAGAGGTAGTTGTGACATTCCAGAGTCTTGGGAAGGTTGGTTAGTAAATTTCAGCTTTTAATTTTTCTTTTGAGGTTATATATAAATATATATGGATGTGTACTTTTTCAGTAAATAGCTCTTGTAATAAGTTTTGTCGCATGTAACTAGTCCCTGATACAATGTGTAAATTGCAACTTTGTTATGCTGCAGTTGCTGTACAAAGTAGCAATTTAATGGGCCTACCCCACAATTGTAGGGCTGCATCAATCTAGGCTGTTCTTGGTTGAAATGAGTAGCATTTGCATGGTGGATATACATGGCTATAGAGGTCAGGTAGAATAGGAAGAAGGCTTTAGTGATTATACTGGATTCTTTGACCATTCTGCCTTAGCTAGGGAAAAATCAGTCTGTTTTTTAGGGTCTTTGTTGAGAGAAAAGTGGTGTAAAAATGTGGGTAAATTATCCGGACTTTGACTTGTAAGCTGTATTATACGTATAGAGTAGGGAGGGTGTTGTTTACTTTCTAATTGCTACAGATATCACAAACAGGAATGCTAAAGTAGTTACAGTGATGTAAATGGTCTTTACAGAAAGTATGTATAGAAGCAGGTAGGAAGAAGGCATCATGCTGACATCCTGTCCCAGAAAATTTAGTTTGTACTTATTGTTGGAACAGTAAAGCTCAGTTTTGCTTCCACTGCTGGGAAGTCTTGGATGTACAGTGGCCTTAGTAAACCATATGGGCATGAGTTCCTGGAAGAGAACCTAATACACACTGTCCCAATTACAGCTGTCCATGAAATATAAGAGCAATATTAGATATCAGAGTTTCTAGGTCTTAATCTTGGTCTGGAATAACTGCATTGTCTATTGGTCATAGCATTGATCAGATAAATTAACCAAATGCTTAGGTTTTATATATTTATTTGCAAATGTTACAAATGGAAATAGGGAAGATGGTTTTATTCCTAGGTTTATGTGATTCGTGCAATTTATGTATTTTTGCTTTGGAGTGGGAAGGATATGCTAGTTGCCTGCTATTTAGGATAAAGGTATGAGGTCATGATGAGTAATAATGGCTGTGAACAATACTTACCTGAAGAAATGGAACTAGAACCCAGGATCACTTGGATACCATTTGAGACTGAAGAACAGTCTGTGACAAAGTTGACTGTTTTGCTCGACCACTGGCACAGGGAGGGATGACAAAACTGGACAAAACTTGAATATCAGGTCAAATAGTGAACACTTGGTAGGTTTGGACATCTTTTTTTCCCTTCTTTTCTTTTCCAAACATGAAATACCAGACCACAACAGGCTACATAAAAACACTGTAGGACAAGGGGTAATGGTTTTAAACTGAAAGATGGTAGATTCAGAGTGGACAAAAGGAAGAAATCTTTTACAGTGAGAGTGGAACAGATTGCCCAGAGAGGTGGCAGACACCCCATCCTGAAACATTCAAGTTCAGGTTGCATGGGGCTTTGAGCAACCAGACCTAGTTGAAGATGTCCCTGCTTATTGCAGGGTGGTTGGACTAGATGACCTTTAAAGGTCTCTTCCAACCCAAACTATTCTATGATTCAATAATGGAAGACCTTGTAACATCCCATAAATAGCTTAAAGATCCAGAAATTTAAAAATTAATTTGTGCCTTTTTATTGTCCAGGATTTTGTTGGACAGTTTGGGGTATGTGTTCTTCATTTGTCTATTGTTCTCAGAATCAAAGTGCGATCCTAAAATAAATATACAATCAACTATTTCTATATCTGAGAAAAAACTCTTTAGTCCCTGACAGAGCAAGAGTTGTCATTCCATCCTCATCTCTTCCCTTTAACAAGACTGGATATGCAGCTGCTCTATTCAAATGCTTGCTTTATTCTCCCCCAACAACCTCCTCCTTCAATTCACTCTCCCTCATCCCCTTTTTCTCTTCATTTTCTTTTCACTTTTTAGTCTTTATGCTTCCTTCTTTTAATTAAAAATTTACATTATAAATCTCAGGTTGCCTCTTGCAGTTTTTTAATTTTTTAAACTATTGCTTCCATGTAATCCCTTAATAGATTTTCCTTTGTTCCTTCCTTCTGTCTCCATGATGTTCATTGCACTGTCTCACTCTGTCCTTTCTTACTTTCTTACCTGGTAATAGCTGCATTTGAGCCCAGAAAGAACTTTCCTGGGAACAGACTCCCTTTCACCAGTGCAAAGTGAGGGAAAATGCTTTCTACTAATTGAGATTCAACTGAGTCCAGCCTCACAGACACTAACTGGAGATGGAAGCCATTTTGAATTAAATAAAAACTGCACATTTGAAGGAAAGTACAGAAGTCAGTGAAAATCACCAAAACCAATATAAGCTATTTAGGGTTTAAAATTGAGCCCTAAACATAGCCATCATATTTATGTCAAAAGATCAACTTTCAACATACTAAGTTGTTTGATAACAATTTTATACAGATTTAGGATTAATAAGGAAGTTGTCAAGCAATTACTTTAAGAATAGTATAGAGGTATATTAAATATTTATCTGACCATTTCAGAAAGGCCTGAAAAAAGGCCGAATAATGAAGGATCAGTACCTTAATACAGTTCTTTTTATCTGACAACATTAAGACTGTTGAAATTATTCACTGTTTTCAACAAAGCTAAGTAACCTGGCAATATGAAAATATTCTATTATGGCAAAACTACATTTTAAGTGCTATGATAGTTATATGTAAAATTAATTTACAAGATCAGTTAGGCATTTTTTTCTACTTGATTTCCTCTTTAAAAAGACAAGGAACCCTCAATTAAGCTGAAATGAAGCAAACCTAAACTGAGAAAAATGATTCTACAATAAAACTAATTTTTTTCAGTAACATAATACTTCATTTTAACCTTCAAGCTAGCTGGAAAATTCACTTTCTAGCAAGAAGACTACCATGGTTTGTTAGTCATAGTAGGCTTAAATTGCTTCATAATGAATTTCATAAAATAAAAATACACTCAATACAATGTTAATTGAGTTAGCTAGGCTTATTTGGGCCTTTCTTACATTTGTTTCTTTGGAACTGGCCCAGGTCAAGTAATTCAGATACCAGATTGAATTAAGCGCTTGTGTTCTGATACAGCTGTTTTTATTATCTTTTAACTACCAGTTACAAAAGAGCTGGCTGGTGGAAACAAAAAATGTTTTTGTTTTAGTGGCTAGTTGATCAAAACCTGTCTTTACACCATGATTTTCTTTGTTTCTGGAGTGCTTCTCCATTTGTGAATATCATAGCGAACACTCTCCTTATCCTAATAATTGATCTACAAAGTGAAGCTGTCTTCTGGGAAGAACTGACAGCAAGGGTGCAGTCCCTTCCACATGAATCCTCAAATCCTCTGAAAAGCAATAACCCAGAAGTAAATAGGGACATAAAGGAGAGGTATAGAATGCCTAGAGCCAGCCGTGTACTAGTTGGGATATTTCAACAAATGAGGTCTTTTTAACTGCTGTAAGAAAGAAGTTTTCCTGCTCTTAATGATTCAGAGTAGCACAACAGGTTAGAGCAAGTATTGAGAAACTCTTAATTACATCATTGATTTAAGGCAGGTAGACCATACAGTCCAACATAAACAAACTATAGAAAGCAAAGACATGTGTTTTAACAACCCATTTTCAACTGCCCTAATTTAGCTTTCTTAGCCTTAGTCATCTCTCTTTCACCCATAAAGCTATGCATATTTCATCTTTGAAAAATTAGCCTGCAATTTTATTAAACAGATATTTTCATGCTTCTGATTTCAACTATGTAATTTCCATACAAGCATTAGTATTTGTTCCTCAATAATTAGTATTATGAATAATTACCCAGAGTAATTCATGGACCAGTGCAAGGCAGAACACAAGAAATTCTGAAAACTTTACCTGACCTACATTAATCACCAAAATATTCATATCACAAGAGGAACTCATGTTAGGCTGTGTATTGATGTGGAGGTTGGAGATATGTGGACAGTGGGTAGTGGAAGAGAGGTAGCTGAAATGGGAAACCACAGTGTATAGAGTAGATGGAATGTTAAATAGTAAAATTTGCACCTTTTTCTGAGTAGCTTTTTTTTTTTTTTTTTTTTTTGTATAATTTTCAGTGTAGTACCAACTCAGTAATGAAAAAGTGTTAACTTGGAAATTGGAAATTATTCAAAGAGTACAACTTTTCACCTATGCTCTGATTTTATTTTAAATTTTCTTACTTGACCTATTTGTGTTTGAGCTTCAGAATATTTTTAGAAATTATGTGATGACAGGTGATTATTTAATATTTTCTTCAGCTAAGCAACATGACACAGTCTCCTTTGTAATAGCTGTATATTTCACAGCTGGTATGAGTTTATAATTAATTTCTTATACTAGAAGTTTGGACTTTGGAAGGAACTTTGGAAATACTAGAACTATTTCTTTGTCTAGTGATTGTTGTACTGAATAGGTAGCTATTTGACTTGGGCTTATAAATAAAACTGTTAAGAGCTCTTATTTAATTACTTTCAGCTCAATCTGACAGATTTTAGTTTCTCAGAGCTGGTGATTCAGATTGCAGCAAATTTCCCCGTAAAGAGGGAATGTGCACGTATGTTTTTTCCCTTTGAGTCTTCTTCCTTTCATGATAGGCAGCAGTGAAATGCCATCTATAGATAAGACTTCAAACCCCATGATTCCTTGGGAGAGCATGCGCTGAAAGCTTCCAGTTGTCAAAGTGCTCTTGCCAGAGTGGTCGACTATTTGTCATATACCAAACCTGAAAGAAGAAAATAAATATACTGTCATTTTGTTGATCTTTAAATACAGAAAATCTAAAGGTAACTGTTCCTTAAAAATTTCTGTGTTGACTGCGTGGGTTACTGCATGCAAACGGAGCTAGTATTGCTATGGGGGATAGAGATTTCCTGTACTGGATTGTAAATTTCTACAAATACTTACACCAGCAAATAATTGAGAGGTACTGCATATTAGTCCAACATTAGACATTGGCTGGCCCGTCCTTCAAAGTAATTTATTATCCAGTGTTTTTCCATTCTGACTGGCTTCATTCATTAAAGGTAGGTCTTGACCTTGACAAGAGGGTTAAATTGTGCAGTGATTTTTACCTTTAAAAAGCAATATGAAAATGAATGTGGATTACAATCCTTAGGATAAAGTTCAAAACCAGCTAGCTAAGTCAAGGTACATATTTGAAGCAACTGCTGTGCTAGCCACTATAGATAACCTGGTGACTAACTGATTTAAATATACTTTATTGACGACAGAATTTTAACATCTCAGCTGCTATGTTTTTCTCTCTAAATATATTTTTATATTGATAGCTCAGAACCAGGGGAAGAATAAATATAATTTTTTTCTCTCTTTGATGTGGAATCATCAGTAATTTTGTGTAGCCTTAGGAGTAATAGTGATTTTGATTTAAATGAAGCTAATGGAAAGCTACACAAAGCTTGATATATTATGGCTTACTGCAGTATTGCTTCAAACTCCCTCAAAAGGTTTTCTGCATCTCCAGCAACAGCAGCAGAGCTGCCTGTCACAGATGCAATAGTTTACTCCATTCTTCTTAGGAACTTGCCATACTGTTGTCTCACTGCATAGTCTGTTCATGAACCCTTGCTGTTCGGTATACTTACTGAACATGTATATAATAGGGAGCATGAGCATTAATTTAATTGATAGCAGAAACCTGTCCTGACATTAATTTTAACTAAAAAGTGTGTGTGTGGCTCAGAAGAGATTTAAAAGAAAGAAAAAAAGACACAAAAAATGTTCAAGATATACATGGACCATCTGAAAACCGGTGATGTCAGAAAAGAGAGGGTCATCAATTTCACTCTTTGCCACCTTTCTTAAACAGTTAATGGATTTGGCTAAACTTTACTTTGCTACATTAAAACAAACAATCCTAAAAAATTGCAATCCTACGAATGTACATGTCATATGATTAACTCAATAGAAATGCAATTAAGTATTCAACAATAACCATCTTTGACATATTCAATTAAAGTAAGTGTTTTTTGGCTCATTTAAAATACTTTAGAGATTTAGAATTATCCTCCCAATTGACTAAAATACTGCAAAATGTGGAGGTTTCTGTTGTAGTTTCATACAATTGCTGTTCATTGATGTCTGTATATGCATTAGTATTATTGTGTTTCAAAACAATAATCAAATTCTATAATCTGTTCTATATTATATGAAGCACCTTTTCTAGCAGATATAAGACTCAGCCATTCTACATACATTTACTTTTTGAACTTACATATTGATTTATCAAATAATTTGCATCACTAGTCTTTGTCTTGTGCATATAAAGATGGCTTTTTAAATGTAGCATGTCTGTATTTTAAGTATTTCAATTTGCTCCATTTTTATTTTTCACTGTGAAAGCATCATAACCATTGTAGTATAATAATACCTCCCAGATCTGCTCATTTTGACCTTATTTTTTTTTCCAGTGAAGAAATTCCTGATGATTTCATATATATAGAAATATAGCAAGTAGAAATACCTCTAAGCAAAGGACTACTTTGATGTATAATTTTACACGGAAAGATCGTAAGCTCACTGAAGGCAAATACAACACCCATCGGTGGCTTTGTACATGAAGTGTCTCCGCTCACCCCACCCCCCACCCCCCACCCGTCCTTGCGATCGTTTCTCATGCCCTAAGCCAGCAGCGAACTGTGCGGCAGAAAAAGGCCAGAAAACGATTGTGCAGCTAAGAACCGCTCCCGTGCCAGTGCGAGATTTCGTGTGTGCTTTCTCTCTGATAAATTTAAATAACTGAAAGGTTGTTTGCTAATTAAAGAAAATCGGTACCCGGCTCCTTTAAAGGTCCCCTAATAGAAAAGGGGGTGGAGAAGAGTGAAGACTGGTGTCTTTTTAACCTTGCTGAAGGACGCAGCAGTATTTATTGACGTATGCAAATAACCAGGGGGAGGAGGTGGAGGAGGAGGAGGGTGCTTGGAAAAACAGGAACCAGAATCAGTTTCTCATTGCAGGGTGAGAGCTCTGAGTTCCGGTGTAAGAGAAAAGAGACGTGGCGAAATTGCTGTATATCTCTGCCCTATAAGCACATCTCTCATTTAGACTGAAGGGAAACAAGGCATCAAAAAGGGTGAAGCATCTTAAAAAATATTTTAAAGGCAATGTAGCACTATCAAAGGTTATATATTCCTAACTGGGGGAGGGGGAAGATTACTGGTTTGCCTTACAATTTGCTGTAGCATAGCAGTAGCAATAGGACGAGATTTTTGGCCGGCAAATGATTAAAACAGCCTGATTTGTGGTATGAATGACAATGTTAATAATCTGTCTTTGTGTTTTTTTTCCCCTACTGTTTCAGCTGCGCAAACCATGCAGGATGATTTACTGATGGACAAAAGCAAAGCCCAGCCCCAGCAGCAGCGGCAGCAGCAGCAACAGCAGCAAGATCCAAACTCAGCAGAAGCCCCTTCTACACCCATCTCGTCAGAGACACCTAAACCAGAAGACAGCAGTTCAGTGACTAGTATCGGCACATCAGCTCCTTCCCAAAATAGCAAGGAGAAGATGCAGATGGAGTCTCCCATTTTGCCTGGCTTGAGCTTTCACCAGCCTCAACAAGAACCTGCAGCCGGCACCTCCTTGTCTCCCTCCTTTGGCAGCACCTGGTCTACAGGGACCACAAACACGGTGGATGATAGCTTTTTCCAAGGGATTACTCCAGTCAATGGGACAATGCTTTTCCAGAATTTTCCACACCATGTCAACCCTGTATTTGGTGGCACTTTCTCGCCTCAAATTGGCCTAGCTCAGACTCAACACCACCAACATCAGCAGCAGCAGCAGCAAGCTCAGCAGCAGCAGCAGCGGAGGTCACCTGTAAGCCCTAATCAGGCACCTTTTGCCCAGAGAAATGCTGCTTACAGCCATCAGCCCATCATGACCAGCAAACCGTCTTCCTCCTCTGCTTCCTCTTCTTCCTCCTCCAGCTGGAATAACCACCAAAATGCGGCTTGGAGTACACCTTCCAACCCTTGGGGTGGGCTGCAGGCTGGTAGGGACCCTCGAAGGGCAGTTGGAGTGGGGGTTGGCGTGGGAGTGGGGGTCGGTGTACCCTCCCCCCTCAATCCCATTTCACCCCTTAAAAAACCGTTCTCCAGCAATGTCATTGCCCCTCCGAAGTTCCCACGGGCTGCACCCTTAACCCCCAAATCCTGGATGGAAGACAACACATTCAGGACGGACAATGGCAACAATCTGTTGCCTTTTCAGGTAAATATTACATGCATCTTCTATGTGATGACAGCTATCATAAAGTTGTATTTTTTTCAGGGATGTGTTTTATGTTTCTGCTCTATCTGGAAGGCATCTCCATAACTCATATTTGCATCAAATAGTCACCTTGTGTGAAAGAAGCGGAGTTAATCCTAGGGAGTGCATACACAAAGATTTCAAATTCTGGCTTAAGGTTTATAGTCTTATTTTTCTTATAACTTATTCTTAAATGTGACAGGGCTTTTGGGGGCTTTTCGGTGTTTTTTTGTTTGGTTGTTTTTTGTTTTTTTTTTTTTTTTTGTTGTTTTTTTGGGTTTTTTTTTGTTGTTGTTTTGTTTGTTTGTTTTGGTTTTTGTTTTGTTTTGTTTTTTTTAATAACATTGGAAAGGTAGTAGCCTTCCATCATGAAAAACAGGTCTGACAGACTACACTCTCTTGATGCTGCGTGTTATATTTTTTTTTTCATATTTTCATGTATGTGAGAAACAGAAGTTAAAATTGCTAGCTTTGGTTTTCTTACTGGCATGTTAGTTTTAACTAAAGATGCTTCTTGACCTGAAGTCCAGTTATTTTATCACCACAGAAATAACTAATTGTCCTTATGTTGTGGTGGTATTTAATGGGGAGTCTGTTCACATAAGATATACATATGAAAAGCTGTATACATCTGATATGTACACCCTGCTGTTAAATTCATAGTGGATGTTTTGAATACATCTAGAAGCAGCATGGGTGTGTATGGAAAGAGTGGCGTATCTGTCCTTTCCCGTAAGGAAATGCCTAATACAATTGATGTGATTTAGAAATGCAGGGATGTATTGTATAAAATAAACCATTTTATGCCGTTCAAAATATTTGCAGATAAAAGAGACAATAGGACACGACCTTCAGAGCCATATTGCAATGGAGTCTATTTACTAGCTACATAGCTCTGAAATATTTAAAGCTGCAGTGCCCTTCACTGTTTTGGTTGTTGGGTTGTTTTTTTTTTCTTATCTATGACGACAAAGCAGATCAATTGCAGCTGAAACTGGGCCACATAGAAGATTTGCAATTTTAATGCAGAATGAAACCTGTCATGGTGTGAAATCCATTTTAAATTGAAAAAAAGCAGAGCATGCACTTGCAGTTATATCTGTACAGGGTAAAGTGAATTTCAAATTTCTTCTAGGTTAGATTTTTTTATTCTAAGACAGAAATTTTCTGTTTTGAAATACAGTGAAATTATTCATATATGCTTTCTCTTTATGCAATCGCTTTCTCAACAAAGTATGAACTCTTGAACATTTTTAACTTATCAGTATGGTAAGAATAGCACCTAGACTGACAGTATAAGAAACAAAGTAAAAAAATAAAACAAACACAAACCACCCCCTGTTACTTTAAGAGATTGTTGAAGTAAAAAATATGTGCATTCCTGTGCACTTTCCAGTCCCATTCAAAGAGGGCACCTTATAGTCAGCCCTGAAATTTCATTTTGCTGCTTCATTCTGTTTAAAGGGAGAGTTGCTAATTTTTTATTGGCTACCCTCAATGAAGGTGGTGTGGCTTCTGGCAAACTGCTGGTCAATGTCTCTGAAGCGCTGAGGTCTTGAGAAAGAGTATACTTCAGACACAATATGCCTGGTGAAACTATGTTGCACAGAGGACAGCAACAGAAAAGCTAATGAATATAGCTCTCAGTCATTTTTTAGGAGTGGAAAATGTGTTTCAATTTACAATTATTCTTTTATTTAAATTGTCTACACATAAGACATTACAAATTCTGATAAATTTGAATTAGTAGGGGAAACAACAGTAAATGGTGTTATTTCTGTGGTTTAGTCAGTGAGATGTATTTTTAATGAATACACAATTTATTATTGTGACTGTAAATTGTCACAAATTGAACTAGCAGATATTTAGTTGTCACTAGGAAAAAAAAGTAGATAAATGTTTTTAAAGAAAAGTTCCTTTGATTTTAAAAGTAAGGTTTTGAAAAACTGAGGTATTAGCCAATATGTAAATTTGGAAACTTGTTTCCTTCTCAGTGAATTTAACCTGGTATTTTTCTGTTCAACTGAAAGCAAATATTTAGACTACATTCAGCACCAGCTGGGATAACAGTCTGATTTCAGAGACTCCGAAAACTTGTAATTTTTTTCCTATTAGGCTCTTTTTAATAAAAGGTGCTGTATTTTGCAATACAAATTGCCTAAGAAGTCTTGAAACCATACTATCCATAGGAGGCAACTATTTAGTTACATTGTTAAAAATGAAATTCAGATTCATGTAAGAGTTTCATATTTGCTGCTTGGGTTATGGTTGCCTCTTTATTTCTTCTTCTTTACCCTGTCCCCCATACCCCTTCATATATTGGGCAATATGTTGACAAAGTTGACACACTAAGTTCTGCTTGTCAGCACTATCAAGTAATTCTGGCAGGTTTATCCATGTACATCTGCCATCATTCATAACTGAGCATTTTTGATCTGCTCAGAAATACCTGTCAGTAAACTTGCTAGAAACACAGTAATGCACATTAGTAAGTTCTTTGTGCTAACCCGTTCTTTTCTCTTATGTTGAGATTATAAGACTTTTCAAAATTTGTGGTTTATATCTAATTAATTCTTTAATAAGCTATGAAGCTCAAGATGTTCTAAGTAAAAGAAAAATATTAGTATGTTCACTGGTTGGATTAACACCAATGATACCTACTTTTTAAGTCACATCTTCGCAGTGATCAAAAATTTTATGCAGAAAGCTCCTGTAATCAAGATTTCTGTTCTGAGTCTGTAATATTTGAAGATAGCTGATACTCAGCTACTGATATATCTAGTTCTAGGAAAAAATGTTGAATTTGAAAATGTTTCTCTTAAGAACATGTACATAAAGCAATATGCTAGATGTCTTCATCCCTGAATTTGAGTAATAAATTAGTGCACCTTGTATGTCAAAACCAATTGGTGTCTGTCCCAAGGATTTATGCTGCAGAATGTATCAGAAAACTTAAAATACCAGTTAGTGGGAATTCTTTTGGCATCTGTTTTGTGATTGGTGTTGAAAGACAACTAAAAATGCTTTGAAGGAGACTGTTTTCATGTACTTAGAAAAATTGATTGCACTATATAAAAAAAATTGAAGATACAAAGCTGGTAGTTGAAAGGGAAAAGAAAAAAGTGATTGGTCTGGAATGAAATGCAGTGTAACAAATAAGAGTTGGAGATAAGATCACAGGAATAGATGTGGGACAAGGCAAGATGTAAAGTATAGAAATATGGCCAGTTCTGAATATTCTTCGGCTTCTGAGTGGTTCAGGTGAAGGTCCTCTGTTGTGATTGCCATGTGACAAGCAGTCATGTTGTGCCATTATGCTAGGTGATCCTCCTTTCTGGCATTTGAGGCTGACATTAGCTGATTGTCCCTGGGACCTGGGCAGTGGTTCAATTCATTTTTACAGCAGAGCGATGGAGAAGAGAGCTATTGTCATCTTGTGCTTCTGAGCTGCTCCCCAAATTCTCTTTTCCTCCATTTCTCTCAGGTAATTTGTGTATTTCTTTTGGCTTTTGAACATATGAAGACATTGGGACAGAGCTTGTGGGGTTCTGAGGATTCATAGTGCCTGAAATAGACTCTTGGAAGCATGGATAAGAAATTCTCTTTATGACAGAGAAGATAGAGAAGGAATTAAATATTTGGAGACTAGAATGCTAATTAAGGAAGTCTACCCTGTGGATTTTTAATAACAACAGCACTGTAACAATTTCCCAGAAATTGTTCCAAGTTTTGCTGCTTTATGAGTAATGTTCTTCAGAAACAATAAAAAATGCACAATTACAAGTTTTAAATTTAAAAAATGCATAGCAATTTGGTCCTCTGAAGATTCTGGCATACATCAAGTCATTCTTGGCAGCTTTACTGATAAATAATTTTCTAGCAAAAATAAATAAGGTGTTATTTATTGTGGATGAAGATAGTCTTAACATGCTAACTTTTGCAGGGAGACTGAGAGTTTTTTGGGGGGAGGTGTTTTGGTGTTCTTTCTCATTGATTTCAATAGGAATTATTCTGGACCCAGATAAAATTATAAGCTAAATTGAGAAATTATATTTAACTTCTATATTTCATACTTAAACAAAATGCAAATCCAAACACTGTGAGTTTATGTATAAATATAAATATATATGCATAAAACCATGTTTGTATGAATATATATGCATTTAGATGTAGATACAATAACTAGTAATACATTAACAAGCACAAATACTTTGTGTTGTACTAAACACACTGTAGTTGTTTGTTGAGTGAAATGAAGGGCAAGGGAATGGCCACTGTATAATGTTTATAATTCCAGTGTGACTTTTGGTTGATGATTAATAGACAGCTCCTTAAGAAGCTGCTCTCTTTAAACATTTGAAGTTCTTCAGGCCTGTGATATTAGCCCATACTTATCTTTCTTCTTGTCAATACAGATTGATACTCAAAATAAATTGTATGCATTCACACAGATGCATATGAATATATATGCTTATGCACTAAACTAATGCAAAGTAGTTTTTGTCTTCAAGCCCTAGAGAAAATAATTAACTTCAGTTTTATAATGTTTGTGCTAGCTTCTTCACAGGCAATGAATTGGCCATAATTTATTTGTCATAGTTCTGTCTCTTAACACTACAGTAACCCAAAATGCATATTAGGATATCTCATATATATGTGTGTGTGTATTAAAAATTATGACTGAATTAAAATAAGTTCAAATATTGAAACATTCATGAGTGTAACAGTTTTATATTTATGAGTTAAGGAGTTTTACTGACTAATACACTCTGGTGATTGTCATTTTAAAGCCTTTGCTTATATCTAGATTTTTTTTTTTTCACAGAAATAATTGTATGCAATAAGTCTACTTGAAGAATAATTTTTAATACATTGTGTTTCTTTAGTCTAAATTTTACCTTCTGAGCTCTGGCTTCTTGGGAGTTTAGTAGATAATCATACTTAGTAACATTACTGGTATC